ATGTGAAGCCTATGAATAAGAAAATAGACATAATCAGGTATGTTGGATTGGTATGATGCAAGCATAGGCATAGTTCTTATAATGTATCAAAATTATAGAGATGAGTTCTTATAAGGGAGTTTTGGTAGTACATGCTTTACTTACTCTTCTAAGATCCTCAAACGGTGACATACTATGGGAGTTTAAAGTGATATTGGAGATGGAAGGGGTTTAATCTATCCTTTATCTCTTCACGCTTAACTGAGCGGTCAGCGATGTAAATGCTCTGAATAACATCAATATAAAAGAGAATTATTATGAAATATATTATATTTATATTCCATCAATTTAAAATAATTTATCGAAATAGTATTTCATTTAATTATTTTTTATTTTAAATTAAGTAATTGAATCTCTACAAAAATATTTTTTTTATTGAGTAGGATAATTATTCTAGTTGAAGTAGACATCTCTAATATTTCCAAGTAAATAGTTTTTCTCATGGGATTGATACTCTATTCTATCATTATATTATTTGATTCGACATGTATACTTGCATATATTAAGAGAGATTTTTTATAATTTTTTTATTAAAGAAACAATACTAAGAATTTTTTAGGGATTGATAGAGCCCTAAATCATTTTTCACAATTCTTTAGGTTACTCCACTGCCCCCATCAATATACAATCCTTTGTAATCCATAAGGTGAAAATATATGAATATACAAAATACTTCATTCCAAAAGAGCCACAATTATCAAGCTTTCTTGAAGCTAAGACGTCAAATTCAAAAGCTATAAAATGACAAACTTATCTCCATCTAAAACTATGGTATACAAAAAGTTCTCTAATATCATGAAAGAAGGATGCTCTTACAAGAAGAGGCCTCAGAATCATTATACGAAAGTGTCCCCAAAAGGAGATTAGTTGTGCAATAATATGTGGGGAAGTGGAATTTGATGACAACAGTGAGGTAGAACTTTAAGAGATCAATCTTTTATATGATCAACCCATAGAAGTTAAACCTGCACCAAAATATCTTGAAGATGGTGAATACGCTACCATAATGGATGAAATGAAGAATGTCAACTTAGGGACTTAAGAAGATCATCATTGACCTTCATCAGTGCTCTCCTCCTGAGGACCAAGTTGAAGATATAAAAAAACTCCTCTATGAATTCAGGGATTACTTTTTCTAGACATATACTAAAATGCCTAGCTTATCCCCTGATGTAGAAGTTCACATATTAGCCATTAAACTATATGTATTGCCCATTTAAAAAGCTCCAAGGAGAATAAGATTGGACATTAAAGAACAATTGATAATAAAAATGAAGAATCTAATAGATGTCGGCTTCATTTGTGAAGAAAAATATGCTAATTGGATTGCCAATATTATCCTCGTTAAGAAGAATAACAATTATATTCATGTCTGCAACGACTTTAGGGACTCTTATAAGGCGTGCCTAAAAGATGCCTTTTTTGTTCCTAGTGATATAGCTCTTATAGATAACACTTTTAACTATGATATATTCTTTTTTATGGATGGATTATCAGGATATAATCAGATTAAGATGACACCTGAAGATAAAAAAGCACGTATTATTTAAAACTCCTATTGGCATATTCTACTATACAATCATACCCTTCAGCATGAAGAATGCTAATACTACCTATCCGTGGGCAATGATATGCATCTTCCATGAGCTAATCCATCAAAAAGTTTAATGCTACATGAATGATCTCATCGATAAGAGCATGGACCAAAGTGATCATCTAAGGGACTTGAGAAATGTATTTAAGAGGATCAAAAAGTTTGATTAAAAGATGAATCCCCTCAATTATACTTTTGTGATCTCTTCGTGGAAATTTTTTGTTTATGTTTTTCACCACTGGGGAATCAATATTGATCCCAATAAGATTAAGATGATTATGGAGATGCCACTACCCAGGAACCTTCGACAATTTTGCTCATTATAAGGAAAACTAGCTTTCATTCAATGATTTATATAGAATTTATCGTGTAGGTGCAAACAATTTTTAAAATTAATGAAGAAAGATATTCACTTCATATGGGACAAAGAATGTTAAAAGGCCTTTGATAGTAATAAGAAATACTTGTTAAACCCGCTCATTCTTATAGCACCAATTCCAAAGAAGCCTCTTATCCTATATACAACAGAATTGGAAGAATCCCTCAGAGCACTACTACATTAGCATAATGAAGAAGAAAAGGAAAATTCACTCTACTACATCAATCAAAGATTAATTAGAGACTATATACATTATTCTCCTATCGAGACCATTATCTAGCATTCATATTCATTGTTTAGAAACCTTTTCTCTGCATACTTTCTCATAAAATTACCTTGATATCAAAGATTAATTCACTGAAGTTCTTGATGTTAAGATCAACATTGATAGGTTATTTAACGAGATCGACAATGATACTTCTGTAGTTTTATATCACGTATGCTCCATAAAAAATTGTGAAGGGAAAAGCCTTGGCAGATGTTCTTGCCGCACATCCCATTTTTGCAGATTCATCACTTAATGATGATCTTTCAGATAAACAAATCATGCATGTTAAATAAAATGAGAAATTATGAGTCTAGGAGATGTATTTTGATGCAACATCATCGATTAAGCTTGCCCAACGTCCAATTCTAACAAAAGCTCGAGTTGGCATTGGTCTCATTTTTATAATGTCCGATGGAGGCATAATCAGATATTTATTTGGTCTAATCGAATCTTAAACCAATAATGAGGTTGAATATGAGGCTCTAATAATGGGTCTCAAGATTATTATTTTATTCAAATTGTTGAACCTCTAAATTTTTAGCAACTCTTAACTTGTGATAAATTAGGTGTTAAGCATCTGTAAGATTAGTAAGCTTGAGTTGGCCTACTTTCACCGGTGGGTCCTTAAGCTTAGGAAGAAAATCTAGATAATGAAATTAGCTTGAGTTCCATGATCCCAAAATAGCAAGGCAAATTATTTGGACAAATTAGTATGAACGACTAGCTTATATTGATTGGAGACCACACTCATTGGGTCTTAGAGCTAGCCATTTTATAATTTTTGCAAGAGGAGAGACTACCAAATACATCCTCAATCTCCCCAATAAATTATTATTGGAAACTCACCAGGTGAATATGAAGTATCTAAAAGGAGACATAAAGCTATCATAGCCTCAGAATCATGGTGATATTGCTTGGATGTCGAAGAGAAAGATGATTAGAGGCAACCTTTCATCGACAAATTCAGAGAAATCAAACTCCCAATAGACAAGTCATTATTCGCACAAATCAAGAAAAGCACGCTGTGATGCACATTTATCAATAATACATTGTATCGAAGATCTTTTAACCAGATGTATCTGAGATGTTTAGGGACTAAAGAAGTTGATAGGGTGGTAGCTGATGTTCATGAAGGACTTTATGGTGTGCACTAGTTAGGTCCCAAAATGGTGGTCAAAATTAAGAGAAAAGGTTGACATTGGATAGAACTTATGAAAGATTATATTAATCATGCTAACAGGAGTCATGAGTGTCAGATTCATGATGATGTTATACAACAACCATCAAAACTATTGAACCCTACAGTGGCATACTGGCCATTTGAATGTTGGGGCACTAATATAATTTGGCTAATTGATCTTCCTTCATCTCTTGAACACTGCTTTATTCTAGGAGCAAGTGACTATTTCTTAAAGTAGACAGAAGCGACTCGATTCAAAGAAGTCACATCTGAACATATGATCAACTTATTTACCCATAATGTTGTCTAAAGATTTGGTATACTACTCTACATAATCTCAGATAAAGACACAACCTTCAAAAGTAAAAAAATTCATAAGTTTGTCGATCAACATATAATTGATTAATGATATTCCTTCATATATAACCCAAAGGTGAATGACTTGGTAGAGGCCTTCAATAAAACATTGGTGAATTTGCTCAAGAAGATCCTTACTATGAACAAAAGAAAGAGGTATACTAAGATGATAAAAGTACTTTGGGCATATCATACAACTTATAAGATGCCAACCAAAGCCATTTCCTATGCACTGGTGTTTGGGGTTAAAGTAGTGCTACCACTAGTGATTGAGCTACCATCACTTTGAGTAGCTATCCAGAATGATCTTACTCTAGAGAAGAATGCTCACCTGAGAATGGAAGAGCCCGACACACTAAATGAAATTGGACTGCAGGCTCAATAAAATCTAAAGATATATCAAACAAGGATGGCCAGATCTTTTGATCAGAGGGTGTGTCATCGAGCATTTTAAGAAGGGGAATTGTTCATGGTGCTGAGAAGGCCAATGATCCCACACCAAAAAAAATTGGTGATATATTTGTATCTAACTTAGAGGGTCCTTTAGTCATTGAGAAGATGTGTTAGGGAGGAGCTTGCTGACTTATTTATCTCAATGGTTAGAAAACCTATGCCACCAATCAATGGACAGTATTTACAGAATTACCATGCATAAAACTCACTCAAAATAATTATGTATTCAATTTACTATGTATTTTATACATGTTTTTAATATATGCATTTTACATTCTTGAAATTCTATTGTATTAAAAGAAATCATTTCAGGTTATAATGAGAAGGATGAGTCTTAGTCAAGGTAGCTACCGAAACACGTGCGCGCGCGCGCGCGCACACACACACACACACAATATAACCCACTAATGGGGCCTACATGTTAATATCCAAAAAATCGGTTACAGAGTCCTTAGAAGGCTCCACCGCTAATGCTCGAAAGAGCTACAATCCAAAAAGAAAATAAAACACCTAAGAGCCGGTGGATCCTTAAACTAAGATTACAAAAATAACCTAAGAAATAATATTGCCAAGTGATAATATGAAAAAAAAAAAAAACTGTATCATTGCCAAGTGATAATATCATCATCAGACTCAAACATAAAATAATATTGCAATTTCTTATTCAAAACAAACTACCGAAACAATTCGTTTGACAATTTCAATGAAGAATTAAAATGATTTATTCACATTTTGTGTAATTATCTATATTGCTTGAACTGTCACAGTACATGTAAACCTTTCAAGGGTTAGACTTATTCTTACTATAATATTCAAGATAAAATTTAGTACCATATGATGTTCCAGTAACAGGTTTAACTGCAAAACATAGGTAACAACTAAAATTTTTAACTGAAGTTAGAACAGAGAACAAATACAAAACAAAACAAGTCTATACAGGCAACAGGTTCCCTATTAACAAAAAAAAAGGAATTTAAAGCTTAGGATTCTAATTAGTTGAAGATAGCGTCCTCCTCTTCAGCCACATTTTCCTCCCCACTGTCATTTTCGGACTCCAAATAACTTGTTGAGGAAGAACTTCCCACAACAACTGCTTTTCCCTTATCCACTTGTTCAGTTTCTCCCCAGCTCTGCCTACTCTCTCTATCAATGCTATCATCACTACTGCTTCCACTTTCACTGGAACTGAGAGTGTTAAACATAGTTACACCCTCCTTCCTTGCACTGTGCAATGAATGGCTCCTGTCCTTGCCATCAGATAATGGCAAAATCGATCCTTGTTGCGAAATGACGGTGTCACGGCCCAAACTGTAGGACGTCGAAAGCTTTCGTTCGATCCCCTTCTTTATATTAACCATCTCTCCCAATTGTTCCAGATTTTCATGGGCGTTTGTGTCTTCCTCTGCCCTTAGCTCCAGCTTACCTATCATCCTTCCAAGTGTCTTCCTTTTATGGTGTAATGATCTCTAATAATCAATCCAAGTTCCCGGAAAAAAGAGTTAGATCTTAAATCTGTATAAGCTAAATGTAAGCTGAAATGTTTGATCCTTAAACTTACCCTTTTGTCAAGGAACATAGCGAGACCATGCTCTTGGAGCTTTCTCTTCCTCCAAAATATGAAACAGAAGCGGACACAGAAAGCTAACAGAACTAACACTGCAAGCTGAAAGAAGATAAAAGGCAGGATTGCTCCCTCGTTGCCTGAGATAAAAGGTGAAGTTAGTTTCTCATAAAACAGCTTAAAGGATGTGTTGCACTCTTATTTACCTGTATACATGTTAACCAACTTGGGCTTTGCTTGTGAGCAGGTCCAAGCATTTATTTGGCCTAGTTAAAAGCATAAAGATGTCAAATAAAATGTATAATTAATAGAAAGAATGTGAGTTTCTGAATGCATTTATGATCACAGGATCTTACTCATGGTGTGGCATGGCAAAGCACTGCCAGTTCCTGCATTAAAAACAAAAAAATTATTCAAGTCGTCAAATGTAATATTTGAAAGGACTTAATTTCGAATGTTGATATCACTAAAATTATAGAAATTTACATATCACATACAATTTTTACCATCTTAAGAGAGGAGAATGATGGTTATTGAAGAATTTTAGAAGCTTAACATAAAGGTAACAGAAACAAAACTCAACTTGAAGAAGATAGGAAGGTGAGAAAGATCCTTTCATCTAGTGTAAAATACCGTAGATCACTATTGGTCAGAAAATTAGTCAGTTCGCCTGAAAGACAATGCAGATAAGATGGTATCAAATTCTAGCAATATTTAAATCTCTGATTAAAAACATAAGAAAAAATAATAAGTAGCATTTACCGGGATAATTTCCAGTCCAATAAACAGTCCCTGTAGCCGGAGTCAACATTGTGAGCACCAGGCTTGCTGGCTTCATTGCTGAAATGTAGGTGTAGTTTCCAATATCACGAATTGACTTTGCTATCACCCTCGTTTGCAGTACATAAATAGCAAATCCTGAGCAGTCTAGAACTGGACTGGTTTGGATAACTGAATCAATTGCAGTTGACTTAAGGAGCTTCTTCACTTCACCAGTAGGTGAGACGGAATACAAATAACCATCCAGTGAGCCAATAGATAACCAGCCTTACAAATTATTTGGATAAAAATTTAGAAATTTTAACTTTTGAGTGTAGATATGCATGAAATAGTCAATAATGGTTAGTTACCATTTGAATCCACCACAGGAAAGCTCTGCTCTGTACCCAAAGGACCAAAACTCTGTTGCCACAAAATATTTCCAGAATAAACATCAAGCGCAATCACTGAAGCCTTTCTAGGAAATATAACGTATAGGAGACCATTATTTCCGGGTATAGTTGTCATAAACTTGTCAATGGAGCTGAAATCATGGACCCATCTAAAGTGGTGAGTCCGCATATACAAGGAATAGAGCTGTCCCTCGGTGTTGAAGATCTGCAAGTGCCCAAAATCATTGGAATTCATTGAACCACATCTCTGATCAGAATTAATGAAATGCTAGATGTTTGTTCTACTTTTTCAATGAAGTGGAGAAAAATAAATGGTAAATTACCATTTGCATTTTCAAATAAAAGAAAAAAGCATGTTAGAGTGCAAGCTTGTGATTAGTAGCGGCTGTAATCATTTAAAATCAAAATTTAGGAACCTTCTTATTGCATCAACTAAAAGAATGATAAAATTAACAAAATCTAATCAAACCTCTCTGTATAAAACTAGATATACTAAAGAAAGAAAATTAAGGGAAAAAGTGACTTTACGTAGAGGGTTCCCTCGCATTGGTCAACAACAGGCGTTGAACTAAAATAACAATCCCTTGAGTTTTCTTTGCAACCCTGGCGATAACCAAATCGATAAAGAATAGGACCAGCACTCCACAATAACTTCCCATGAAATGAGAGTGCAAAGAGTCCTCGATTCTTAATAGTCAAAAATATAGAAGCATACAATATACTTATTGAAATTTGACCTCAATGTAGAGTTTGAAGCAACCAAAATATTGCTCTATTGCATCCCTCAAATATATCACAAATTATAGTTAATACAAAGTGGAAACATCTAGTATCACAGAGGGATAATATATGCTAAAATTGCTATAGAAATTATCCAAAAGAAAGGTTTATGAAGAGGTAATAAAATTAATAAATAAAAACCATTCCTAATAGTTGCTGCATTGTTAAAAATAGTTGAAGGATTGTTTTACAAATACAACATATTAGTTTGGGTAGTTCCTCCTGTTGTATGCAAAGTCATTTAATTCTCACATGTACCATAACAGTTCATATATTGAGAGACTTTTTGGTTGGAAGTCTTGGAGGTGTAAAGCAAAATGAATGTATGAAACTTTTTTTATTAAATGAAATAAATGCAAAGTATCTTTTAAGGGATTTGAGATCCTCAAAACCCCATTTTTGTGTATTACAAATTTATCAAAATCAGTTAAATTTCAGATGAATCGTTGTACCCAAGCCATGCCCTAAAACTGTGTATATAGCATCCATGAACCGCCCGAGACACCATTGACATTCTTGTCCCCCACCTTTTTCCTTTGATTTAATTTTTTTGTAACACCAACCCACATAAACACCATTTTAGGCTCCCTCTGTAATATTGAACCCCCCGCCATCATCATTTCTAAACCAGCCTAGCCACTATCATCCCTATCAGCAACCTTAAAATTGTGTTGTCACCATCCCAGCCAAATAAGAGAATAGAATAGAGATATTATTTAATACATCCTGATAAAAAAATAATTTTATTTTATTTTATTTTATACCAACCAAATAACTACTGAAAACTAAGATACATTGCATTTCTAAAATGAATGAATTTTAAATACATTCAACCAAACAACCACCTGACATAAATAAGCACAACCTCTAGTTTCCATCATTGATTATCTAATATCTCTACTATTAACCCCAAAAAAGGATTATTCTTAAAGGAGATGACAGGAAATAATTAATCCTATACAAAACTGCATTATGAGAAAAATCACATATGAGTTAATACCTTCCCTTTATCATCAACAACTGGAGAAATTTCAGGTCTTGATACATAACCCAGGGGGATAATCCAAACAACTGTGCCATTACGATCAAATGAAAAAAGATGCTTCCCTGAGCAAGTGTAAATTCTTCCATCATCTGTGAGAAGAGGTTTATACAGTCTAGCAGCGATCTTAGGATTAGATCCTTCTGTTGAAAGAAAATAGAGCATACCACGTATGCAAATCAGTAATGAATTAACCAGCATCAAAACATTAAATAACTATACAGGAAAGAAAAGAACTTAAATTTACTAACTAATAAAAAGGAGTGAAAATTTTACATAATCATATTCAATGACTAAATGAAAAATAATATTCACTAAAAAATAGTATAAACTAAAAATTGTTTCAAGATGCAAGATATTTACGGAGTTCTTAAGATACCAGAGTCTTATGTTCCTTAGCTCTATGTTCATACACAATGAAGGAGAATAAGAATTTCAAATCAGCACAAATTATAATGCATTGCTTGTTGTAATCTTGAATGTGGCCTTGCTTTTGGATGGTTGCAATGAGCAGTACATTCTTTTGTTAATTGTTATGATGGAAAAGTTTGTTGGTAGATAGCACGAGCACAATATGAAGGAGCAATATAGAGTGCTAAAGAGCCAAGTTTGATCCACAAATGCAAGTGCATTAATCACTCAAATGTTAATGCTCAAATGAGACAGAGAGAAATATTTGGTCCATGAATGTTTGCACGACAGTCACCTAGATGACATGGAATAATAAAAAGTAGTCACTAGTCCATTGATAATGATAAGGAAATTCTCTAGATCCATTTAAAGATAGAGAAAATTAACCAAATGAATTGAAAAGAGAGTCATATTTATATATTTATGACAAGCTATTTTATTATCCATCTAAATTATTCTTAATAATTATCCTTAAAAGGATGATGGAGATCGCATCCTCTTTCATCAAATTTCAATTGAACAGTAGCTATTTTTAGGCTAGTTAAGGTTGTTTGAACAATAGATAAAAGGCAAATAATAGACAACACTAAACACATCTCAAATCAATGATATGAGCATACCACATCATAGTCAATGATGTCGAAAGCACATCAATGGTGACGAATCAAAATTTCAAGAAATGAATTGACATGAACAATTTGAAAAGATTCGGATCTCTTAAATAAATGTATCAAAAGCAAAGATTGACACAATAAAATGATGAAGTATCGAAGGAAATGTGACCTAGGGAAATTTGGATCTTCATGGATGAAATACAAAGAAAAGAGCACTCACCAATGCAATTGGAGGTCTTGGATATGTATATTGTTGTGAGATAAAGTCGAAGAGTCAATTTGTTTGACACCTATTTTTTTATAGTAGCACAACAGGTCCTCCACCAAATTGAGCATCCATCCTCATGATTAGCTTATAATTACTTTAGAGGGAGAAGCAGTTAGGTCATACTAGACCCATCAGCTCAATTCAAACTAGTCAATTTTACTAGTTTAGGTATGTTTGGGGCCATCTCAAGCAGTTTGAGCAACTACATACATGATAATATCTAAGGGTCTTCTCATCATTATGAGCTTGTCTAGTCTCCAATTAAGCAAAAAAAAAAAAAAAATGAGCACTATTTTAGCTCATTTGAGTTTCCTTGAGATGTACTTTCATATCAAAAGTTGTGTTTTATCAACCGAACATGTTGCCTTTTATTTTAGGGCATTTTTATCAACAAGATCAAAAATATATTCTCATTATATGTAGCATTTTTTATTTACTTCAGGGCTGAAGAAAATTTATGATTCAAGTCACCAACATCAACCGTTCGTAATACATTAACAAATACATACCTTGGGGACTAGAAACTAAATCATTTATTTTATATAGATTCCAAAATTAATTGTTTATTAGAATTAGCTTGGATTCAAATTCTTCATATGATTAAGACCCAAGTAATCTTCCTTTGTCATTTTCATGTGAGAAGAAGAAAATAAACTTAAACTGAGCCAGGTCATAATGAACTGAAATCTAAACATGTCAAAATGAAGCTAAAATGGCTGTAATGGCCACAAATTGCTTTGAGTTCAAAATGAGACCTTATACTTCAAATGTAAGGAGTTAGTATTTGATGATGATAACTAACAATAAAATGTTATGAGAAGAACTTCAAGTGTTGAACAAAAAAGCATGAGCCCTAGAAAACAATTAATCAAACTTATGAAATAATAACAAAATCTTGAGCAGTATTTCTTAAAGATGGAGAGGATGAATCCAAGAGAACAAAATAAGAGATGCAGGGATATAAATCTAGAAAATGACAAAAGAGCATAGATGATGAAAAATGTGGAATATATAATAATAATAATAAATATGGCTATTTAAATAACTCAAAATGCAAAACTAACTTGAATTTTAACTCGATTAAAGATAATTTCAAACTCCACACCAGACGTTGATTTCAAGTTGTTCCAATCCGATAGAATGTAGATCAAGTTAACTCAAAATGAGTAGTTATGTGGAATATATAATATGCATAATAAGCATATTTATATAGATTAATTAAAAATTAACTTTGAGTCAACATGAAATTGAATTATTTTTATCAAGTCAAGTCAAATAGAAATATTTTTAATTTGAGTAGATGTGGAATAAAAAATTTTAAATTTAAGATTAGCCAAAAGTCATTTGGACTTGAATTTTTATTAGCCTTAGAACTGATGTTAATATCATCCCTAAACTAAACATGCTACAAAATTATGTTGTTTAACTATACTAGCTTAAAATAATCAATTTAGTGAGATTTTTAAACTTAGAATGTAATGAAACTTTAAAACACAAGTATTTTTTCAAAATAATTTAAAAATAAGAAAATTATTTTATTGTCTTCAAATATTTTTTATCGTAATTATAATAAATAAATAACCAATATAACTTTTTTTAGGTCCTCATTTTGCTTGGGTAGACACATTTTGAGGAGCCCAGTACTTCGGGCATATAGCATTCCTATAGCTTCAAAAGCATCTAACAATTGTTTAAACAATATACTTCTCCCCTAATGATTGTATGTACAGTTTTATAAAGCCAAAATAAAATCAAAGACCCACCGTTGCTTAGCTCGTGTGGGAAAGAACCGGCTGGGCAAAGCCTAGGTCTCGAGTTCGATCCCCATGAGCGGCAGCGAAAGCCTTAAGTGTTGGCTCGGGCTAATTGGTGTGGGTAGTCTGCTAGGTCGACCGGGATTTATAACTCGCGAAGCGGGTTAGTTCCTCGTCACAAAAAAAAAAAAAGAATCAAAGTCTCGTATTTGTTCTAACATATATTGAAAGTAGAACCATGTCTGAAGATTTGGGAACCAATTTATAAAATTTAATTAGAGATTTCTTCTCTTTTTTCCTAATAATAGGATTCTCCTACCAAGAAAGCAATAAAAGACATCAAAAATTCAATAAATATAAAAAAAAATCAATAAGCACTATTCTAAGATGGAAAATATAATACTGGAACAATTTGAGAAGATCAAATTCCAAACTAAACAATAATATTTATAATCCAATGCAAGATGAGAAAAAGTTGCCTCAATCTACTTGAATAAATGAAAAAAAAAAAGTAGAAGAATCATACTACTATAGCTGCTCAGAAATTTCTTCATATCAAAAGACTGTGAAAGGGCTCTCATCATTATCAATAGCAGCACCAAACATCTTATTGCCATTATGAACAAGTAGTAGAGTTTCACATCCAGACCATTATGCCTGAAAGAAAATCAATAGTAACATGGTAGAACAAAGTAAGTTGATAAATTTATTTTAATCCAATAAATATAAATATTTCTATAATGATAATCATCAATAAAAAAATAAAACATCATAGCATCTAAATCCAATAACATCTACTAATTTCCCTATCAAAATGCAAATAAAATTTAACTATTGCTATAACTCACCTAAGGAATAAATCACAATTAAATCAATTAAATAACTTAAAATCTTAATCACCTTCTTTGTATACCTAAAACACGAATATATAAACTTTCTTTTTAATGATGCACAACTAATAACCTGAAAAATCATAAAATCCAATCATTGTGAGTTAGGTGAAACCTAGTGGTAAAAATATAACTAGCAAGGTATAGAACATAACTATGGTCATGAAAGCATAGCAACAATATTTATTATATTATAAAAATCATAAACATTATAAAAAAAAAAAATTCTAACCTAGAAGTCAAGATTATTAGATATTAAAATAGTTCAATGGTGCAAATTATACAGTAGTAACAACAACAACAACAACAACAACATCAAGCCTTTATCCCAACATCAAGCCTTTATCCCACTGCATGGGGTGGCTACATGAATCCCCTTTTTTTTTCCATCATGTTCTATTAAGAGTCAAACTCTCATTTAAATCTAATAAAGAAAAGTCATTTCTAATATTATATCTATTACTACTAAAATTATACTCCCTTAATTCGGTTTTAGATATATTCTAAAGAAGAGTAAGGCAGGAATTGAACCAAGAAATGAATACAGAAGATAAGATTGTATTATTCCCCTGCATACAACTATACACGTGTATTTATAGAAAGTGCAAGGTAATAGTATTTGTACACGTGTAAGTGATAGTTGGTAAAAATATAGTTACAAGAGTTTAAGCAAATCATTAGATATCTATTATTACTCCCCCGCAAGCTGATGGATTAGTTTGAACAGTGAACTTGTTTCAAAGTAGATAAAATCATGGAAAGGCTTTTTTAGAATGTCCTCAATTTGATCTTGTGTTGATACCATAGATATTGTAAAAGTTTGAGACTTAATATGATCATGAATGAATGATGATCAATTTCTATATGCTTTGTTATAGCATGAAAAGCTGGATTGTTTGCGTGGGCTATAGCCGAAGTGTTATCGAAACTAAGTTTTGTGGGAGATGAAACAAGAATTTGAAAATACTGCATTAGCCTTCGAAGTCATATGATATCTAAAATAGTCGTTGTTAATGCCCGGTATTCTGCTTCAGTTGATGACCTAGCAACGATATGTTGCTTTTTAACACTCCAAGAGATTAATGTATTGCCTAAAAAAGTACAATATCCCAATGTAGAACGCCTAGTATCTTTGTCTCCAGCCCAATCAACATCTGAGAAAGATTTAAGATTGAGCAGACCAGTTGAAATACGGAGACCAAAATGAATAGTGCCTTTGATATATCTTAGCAATCTTTTAAGTAATTAGGCATGTTGAGAATTTGGATTATGCATATGTTGACAAAGCAAATTAACTGCATATGAGATATTCGATCTTGTGATGGTAAGATACTGCATAGGAGATTTGTTGACATAGCAAATCCTTCATCAAGATGTCCATGCATGAAAGCATTGGTGACATCTAATTGATCTAATTGCAACTATTGAATAGGTGCAACAGTGAGGGCCATTCTTATCGTGGGAAATTTAGCCATAGGGCTAAACATTTCCAAATAGTTGATACCATATTGCTGATGATTTCCTTGAGCCACAATCCTTGCTTTAAATCTTGCTGGAGCCATTAGAATGAAATTTGGTTCTAAACGTCCACCGATTGCCAAGAATAGGAGTATTAGTAGGAGGTTGAACCAATTGCCATCTGCCTTACATTTGCAAAGCAAGAAATTCATCGACCATTGCTTTCCGCCATTGAGGAATTTTGATAGCCTCAGAGTATGAAGTCGGTTCGGGTTGCAGAGAATAATATGAAGTATCCTGAATATGAAGAAGATTGAGCATTTGTCTAAGCTTAAAAGAACCAATTTTTAATTTGGTTGTCATTGGCTGATGAGACAAAGGTTGCTTTGACGGTAAAGGCGATGATGTGGGAGTAATCCTGGAATTTAGAGAACTAGAGTGTTCTGGATTATTTATCTGAGGTAGTGTTACTTGAGTAGCAATATCAGGTGCATTGCACTGTAAGTGGATAGGAGAAGAACAATTTGTGGAGGTATTTGGAAGAGATTTTTGAGAGGGAACCATAGAATTAGGAATAAGGAGATGAGGTGGAGATTGGGAAGATGTATACGAAGATATGGGTGAATGAGCTGATTGAAAAGGAAATGAATTTTCAACAAAGATGACATGCTGAGATGTATATATTTTATTGGTATTGGATCTAGGCATTTGTAACCTTTGGAGACACTTGAGTAGCCAAGAAACATGCATAACCGAGAGTGCAACTCCAGTTGATGTCGTTGATTTGCTGGAAGCCATGGAAAGCAAGCACAACCAAATACTCTTAGTAAAGAATAATCAGGTTATTTTTGGTATAGAAGTTGAAGAGGAGATTTGAAATTTGTGGTACGAGATGAGAATATGTTTATAAGATAGGAAGCAGTAAGCACCGCATTCGACCAAAACGAATGAAAAATGGATGCAGTATGCAGAAGAGTTCTTTTAGTTTCTATGAGATGGCGATGTTTTCTTTCTGCAAGGTCATTTTTTTCTGGGGTATACGGACAAGAGACTTGATGTTGAATGCCTTGTTGATTGAGAAAGATGATGAGGTGAGAATTTATGTATTCTTTACATCCATCACATTTGATATGATGAGATGTTTGCTTTTCCACAAGACATTTAAATTTGGTAAAAATAGAGCACACCTCAGATTTATATTGCATAGGAAAGACCTAAGTGAAACATGAAAAATCATCAATGAAAACTACGTAATACTTGAATCCTTGATGTGAGGTTATAGGTGACGGACCCCAAACATCAGAGTGAATCACGTCTAAAGGTTGAGATGATCTGGATGAATAATTAGGAAAATAATGTTTATGGCCTTTGGAGACCATAAAATTATTACACACAGTGCTGTGATTAGGTATATGAAGCTGTTTATTATTCTTGGATACTATGGCAAGAGTATTAGAGTGAGGATGACAAAGTCATTGATGACAGATTGAGGATGGTTGACGAGCTTGACAGGAAGCAACAAATGCAAATTGACTAGCGAGAGATGTAGACGTCCGAATGGGATATAAACCTTTATGGCTTGGTCCCGATAGAAGTTGTTGATTTGTCGTCAAATCCTTGATAACAAAACTAGAGGCATCAAAACAAACAGAAACATTTGTTATCCCTAGTTAGATTGAAAACAAATAACAAATTGTCTGAAAGTTTTGGTATGTGCAGAAGCGGGGAGATATTAATCTTACGATATGGAGTTGGCAGAATACCAGTACCAGAGTGAGCAATTGGCAAAGATCTACCATTTCCTATGGTGATGTTGTCATTGCCATTGTAAGGTACTGTTTGAGACAGATTGTCAAGCAAGTGTGTAAAATGAGCTGAGGCATTAGAATCCAAGTACCAATCAGGATTAATAGGCTCGATTTGATGCAATCATAGCTCGAGAGGATGCTGAATTCAGTGGATTCATCTCCGGAGGATTGTAATTTGTGTTAAGTCTGTGCCAATAATTGTGCGCTGAATGTCCTCTTTTGTTACAAATTTGGCACGTTATGACCTTTGATGAGGCTATTTTTGCTATCTGTGTAATGGAGCGACCACGCCCCTTACGTCCTCGTCCTCGTAACGAGTATAGAGTTGTAGAGGAATCAACAACCGAATTCTGCTTGATTGATTCAGCTTGGATATTGATTTCCTCAATTATTAGCAGAGGATGTAGGCAATTAAGACTTATAGGATGAAGCTTTGTACGAATAGATGTCTAGAAAGCTTGATATGAAGATAGAAGACCGTTTAGAATGTACAGTATGATATCTTCCGTATCAACAGTTGATCCCAACGCCTCCAATGTTTTCAACAATGGACTTGATTTCTGTGAGGTATCGTGACATAATGAAATTCTTCATTTGAATGTTGTGAAGCTCATTTTTAAGTTGTATGACTTTAGATTTGTTTGATGATTGAAGTCGATGCTCGATCGTCGTCCAGATAGCTGAACAAGACTCCAGATGCATAACATACGAAAGAATCGCCGGAGACAGGGTCGAACATATGGTTGCCACTAGGTTTTGATCTATGAGAACTCATTCATTATTTTTGGGATTGATTGCGGTGGAGTCATCTTGAAGATGGCATAGACAAGAGGGTGGGGAAACCAAAGGATGAAGAAAGTTTACAAATTCATTTGCATTCAGAAGTTTAAGAACCTGTGATTTCCATACTGAATAGTTGTCTAGAGATAGCTAAGTGTGACCTATGATATTGAGGTTGGAGATGACGAACTTGAGAGATGACGGTATGCCGCAATGATCACCGAAAGATACATAATGTTGTTCTGCGGTCTACGATGAAGAAGAGTTCACCATGGCCGGAAAAAGAAAGAAAAAGAAAGAGGACTAAACCTGCTCTGATACCATAAAAAAGAGTACAACAGGAATTGAACCAAAAAATGAATATAGAAGATAAGATTGTATTATTCCCTTGCATACAACTATACACATGTATTTTATAGAAAGTGCAAGCAAATAGTATTTGTACACATGTAAATGACAGCTGGTAAAAATACAGCTACAATAGTTTAAGCTAATCATTGGATATCTGTTATTATAGTCAAATAAAAACCTTTAGACAATAGAAAGATTTCCCACACTAACTAACAAAGTGAAACAAAGTAAAAAAGCTATCGAAAATGATAAATCAATGGTCGTGTGACCCGTTAATTTTGCAAGCCTTTTGATTTTGATAAAATCCTATGTGTGCCCGTAATTTAAATAGAATGAAAATAAGCAAACCCTAAGAGGCTGTCGGGCAACAAGTGGGG